TTAATTGTGAATGTGACCTGAGAGTTCATTAATGCTACCTTTCCAGTCCAAACAATTTATTTTTTTACACCAGAATTTTAACCTGCTAATTGAAACTCACATGACTTAAAAATTGAAACTGACATGACTTAAAATACGTAGCACTTTATTAAAGGGTAACTGTGTTTATTCCACAAGAAAGGGGGGTAGTTAGATGCAGGTGGATGATGTTTTTATGTAATGTTGGTCCAGGTAAAAAAGTACAGAATTGCTATTTCCATGATAGCATTGAAATGTTTGCTGCAAATACAACACAGTATGCATTTTAATTTAGAGCCATATTATGTCTGTAGTTAAACTTTTGATTCTTTAATTGTTCTAAATTTTGTTTTATTTGTATTACTTGAGACCTGTTCTCAGTTAAGAAATAAAAAATGATTGATGTCTAAAAACAGGGGTTTCTTATATTTTTCTTTAGATTATCTTTAGATATATATTCTGAATATAATCATATTTTATATGTATGACAAATTTAAAGGTGGTATTGTTTTCTTTATGCAACTACTCAAAATTTTAATATGTTCTTTCATTTCTGAATGTGGGCAAGGGACATAATATTTCTCAAACTGCAGGCCACGTTTCACTTTAACATGCATGTTTTTTGAAATGGCAGAATTTCTCAGAGCCGTGTGGTTTTCACTATTGTGTGTGCTTAATGTTCATAGTCAACCACAACTGAATAAATAAGAGAATACATTTTCTCTCCTTGCCTGAAAAGTGAAAATTATTATAGGTCAACTGCTGAGAGGTCTTGCCTCCATCGCATATGTCTTGCTTGCAACTTATTTTTCATTTATTCCAAGCAAACACAATTCATTTTACATTTGCTTGTTATTTACTTGGTTTTAGTTGTTTTAACATAAGAAGAAATTATTCTTTCTCAGCTGTGCAGGTGCTGCTCTCCTAACTTTCCAGGGCCAGGAGTGGAAACCCCTGCTCACATACCATCTTGATTATTTGTTCTACTCACACTCAAAAGAGTTTAACTCACACATAGAAGAGATTATAACTAAGCTACAAACAAATCTGCCTTGTGATTTTAGGATCACATATACCAACGCACACCTAGGAAGGGCTTCTTTCAAATGCAGGACAAGAGCCCAAGCGAGGAGTCCCACAGGCCTGGAGTCCCATTGTAGTGACCGCATACTGGCTGTGTACCCTTGGACGTGCTTTGTCAGGTCTCTGACGTTCGTTTTCATCAATGGATAAAAGGTGCTCCAGCTCATAGGATCATTTAAGGAACAGGAAGGTACTTGGCAAATCACTGTGGCGTGATGTAAACCGGCTGTTTAAAAAAACCCACAAGGCCTTGATTTGCCTTGATTTGTAATGTGATATAAATCCTCCCACCACGGCCAATTTCCAGCTATGAATGATTTAACAGCCACCTGGTAAAATTCCTAAATATTTAACAGTCCCCTGGCACCAACCAAGTGCAGCCCACCATTGCTAACCCTCAGTAAATGGCAGTAATTATTTGTTAATAATTATCTTTTGTCCTCCATTGATCTAGAAAAAATATTCCTGTTTGGAAAATTCTGTATAGATGGAGGATGTGAAAGCTAAGGAAAGAATAGTAATTTACAATGTTTAAAATGTTAATGATTTCGAATAACAAACAAAAAAGCTCCCTTCAGAATTTTAGAAGTAGGCAGAAAACTAGTAAGAAAACAACATTTACTACTACGAAATGTGTTAATTAAATGCTTTAAAATAGGGATAACTTTGTAAAATATTCTGGGTGACTTAAATTTAATATTAACTTTTTCAAGACTAGTTTGGAATGACTTAACTTTCTGGTCTTAGATTATTTAATCTACACACACACACACACACACACACACACACACACACAAATCCTAACTGGAAAAGTGTGTGTATTTGATACCTATCAAATAGAGATAAACTGGCAGCTATTATTTTAAAACCCAGTGCTTTACAAAAAAGTTTCCTTTATATTTATCCAAATAACTTTTATATCATTCAAGGCTGATTTTGGATTTTCAAACTGGAAAAGTGTGTATATTTGATACCTATCAAATAGAGATAAACTGGCAGCCATTATTTTAAAATCCAGTGCTTTACAAAAAAAGTTTCCTTTAAATTTATCCAAGTAACTTTTATATCATTCAAGGCTGATTTTGGATTTTCAAAGTTGGCTGCAATCATAAGTCTTTTTGAAATGTTCCTTTACTGAATAACTGCGGAAATCATTTTTTCGTGGTAATAATAACAATTTGCATGTTTAGTCTGACATGATGGACAGGGGATGGCATATTAAAATGAAACTACTCCAGAACAGCTGGACATATTAAGCCTGAAAATACCTTTTATGTAACAATGGACATCTCAATATACAAAGTGCAAAGCTGTGAGCGATCTAGGAGAGAATCGGGAGACTTGAGAGCAAATCAGTTTGTGCTGAGAGCACCACTTTCCATGCACATGTCCTGGCCCATGAGCAAGGCTGGAGCAACAGGCCTGGGGAAGCATGTGGGAAACCAAGGGCATTTGGTGAGTGGAAGCTGATTCACTCTAGTGAAACTCCTCTGTCCATTTCTGTAAGAGACTAGTGTGGAGGTGCTAAAAGAAGAGGGTGTATTTTCTATGTTAATCCCTCTCACAAAGTAAGGAATCACTGGAACTCTGGCTTCACAGGGGATTGCCTAGGTTTACATACCCAGAGCGGGGCTGTGAGGAAGAACTGGGATGACTGTGTGTATTAGAACCCAAACCATTGTCCACTCAAGTGAGATCCTCATGTGGCATGTGGCCCCAGTTGCAAATACCCGTCTCTGGGGCTGCTAAGTGCATTTGACTGTGCACACATGTACTATTCCTAGACATGCAATAGATGTGCATGAAGTATATTCCATGAAGTAATTAAGTGGCATTTTGGGTGCGGTATTCAATTTTGGGAAAGACTATACCTTCTTCCTCTCACTTGTATAAATTAAAACATTTCTCAGGGTGTGAATTGCTTTTAGGATTATCACAACCCTAGTATGGGGGTATAAATTACATGGTTCAGCTGATAAACATTTTCCAGGTTCATATTACATATTTAAGTGAAAGGGAGAAATGTTTTATGTTTTTCTATTGACACAAAATGGGGTCACTTGGAGTCCTTGTGAAAAGATATATAATTAGCCTTCTGGACAAGCCAGCTGGTATGTCACCAAAAAAAAAAAATGTGAGAAACATCAACTGGCAGGTCTTTCATCTGCTCATTTCTTGGACTCTTTCCCACAAAAACTAATTCATTAATTTAAAGATTTGGCATATGACAAGGCAATGTGGGAAACTTTACCTGGAGTCAATACCTATCAGAAATCAAAAGGGATATATTTCAAGGACTGTAGGAGCAGGGTTTCCAAAGGCAATTCAGCACTAATTATTCTTTTATGACCTTACTTTTATCCCCTATGTCATATTTTTTTCTTTTTTATGTAATTTATTCTGCAAGCAAAAACCAAAATTGAGGACAACTATTTAGAAAATGAAAATATATTTAGAATAATTTGGCAGGTTATTTTTTAATAACATATTTCTCTTTTGAGCTATTTAGGATATGAGCCAAAGGATTGAAAACATGATAAATCCTACTTTATTAAAACTTGGATCTAGGGCTTTTCTTTTAGATGAAACACTGCCCAACTGGAAAGTATTAATAATGAATTAGATATATAGGCTTTGAACATAATAATTACAATGATTCCAATCTTTTTTTAAGTATTGTCTACTTGGCACCACATTATCTCATTGATCCTCAGAACAGCTCTATAAGTCAGTGCTTTTTTTTATCTTCTTCCTATGTAGTTAAGGAAACTAAGGCTTAGACATTTATTGTTTTGTTGTTGTTGTTGAAAGTATTATATATGTCCCCCTTTTTCCTCATTGACCTGTTCTATCCTGTTTCTCTACCCCCCGCCCCAGGCCTTCATCACCCTTTTGTCTGTGTCCCAGGGGTTATGCACATATTCATATGAGTTCTTTGGTTGATCTCTTCCCACCTACCCACCCTCCCCCATGTTCCCTCTGAGATTCGACAGTATGTTCTATGCTTCTCTGTCTCTGGATCTATTTTGTTCATCAGTTTATTTTGTTCATTATATTCCACATATGAGTGAGATCATGTGATACTTGTCTTTCTCTGACTGGCTTATTTCACTTAGCATAATATTCTCCAGGTCCCTCCATGCTGTTGCAAATGGTAACAGTTACTTCATTTTTACCGCAGCATAGTATTCCATTGTGAAAATGTACCACAGCTTTTTTATCCACTTATCTACTGATGGGCACTTGGGATGTCTCCAGATCTTAGCTATTGTAAATTGTGCTGCTATGAACATAGGGGTGCATACATTCTTTCTGATTGTAGTTTCTGTTTTCTTAGGATACTTTTCTAGAAGTGGGATCACTGGGTCAAATGGCAGTTCCATATTTATTTTTTTGAGGAAACTCCATACTGTTTTCCATAAGAAATTTTGTTTTAATCCTCAACCAAGGACATGCTTAGAGATAGCAAGGGAGGGAGGGAGGGAGAGGGAGAGAGGGAGAGAGAGAGAGATTATGAGAGAGAAACATTCAGTTGTCTTCTGTACATGCCCAGACTGGTGATCAAACCTGCAACTCAGGTATGTGCCCTGACTAGGAATTGAACCCTCAACCTTTCAGTGCACAGGACGATGCTCAACTAACTGAACCTCTCCAGCCAGACAAGGATTAGAAATTTGAAGTAATTTGTCCAAGTTTCTATTGCTAGTAAGAGAGGAAAGGGGGATTACATAAAGGCCAACTGATGGACAATCACCTTCTGAATCACTAATTATACGTATTGTCCACCAAGATTTGCAATTTCACATCAGCTGTAGGAAAAGTATGCAGATTGCCCTGTTTTTGTGTGGATGGTGGCATGGAGCCTCTGAGTAACTGACACCTTGTTTTTCTGCCTGTAGGCCCCTGGGGACGGTGTACAGGAGACTGTGGGCCTGGAGGAGTCCAGACTCGGGCACTGTGGTGCTTCCACTTTGAAGGTTGGACAAGTCACCTGTCCAGCTGTGATGAGAACCACAGGCCTCCAAAGGAGAGGAGCTGCTTCCGAGTCTGCGACTGGCACAGCGACCTCTTCCAGTGGGAGGTCTCTGACTGGCACCGCTGTGTGCTTGCTCCCCCCGTCCTGGGCCAGGCCAAGCCTTGGACCTCCGAGTGCGTGACGGCCCAGCATGGGCTGCAGCACCGGACTGTGCGCTGTGTTCAGAAGTTGAACAGGACCATGGTCGCCAGCGAAATATGTGAGCACTTTGCCCCTCAGCCACCCACAGAGCAAGCTTGCCTCATTCCTTGCCCGCGGGATTGTGTTGTATCCGAGTTCTCACAATGGTCCAAGTGTAGCAAGGGATGCGGGAAGCGACTGCAGCACCGGACACGCGTGGCCATCGCTCCCCCTCTCTATGGAGGGTCTCACTGTCCCAATCTGACGGAGACAAGAATCTGTGACGCCCCCATTTCCTGTCCTCTTGGCGAAGAGGAATATACTTTTAGCCTTAAAGTTGGCCCGTGGAGTAAATGTAGACTGCCTCAGCTGAAGGACATGGACCTCACCGGAAGGACTGTTGTGGATTTTAGCTCTGATTCAAAGGAGCAAGTCACCTTGAGATACCCAAGTTACAAGCCACATCACCATGCCAAGCCCTGGGACATAGAGATAGGTTATCAAACCCGGCAGGTGTGGTGTACAAGGAGTGATGGGAAAAATGCCATGATAAGGTAGGAGACCTTCCGTGTTCATATTTTTGACTCACTTAAATATCGGACAGTGTAATTTTATAAGGTTCCTTTCCGATTTTCTGTAAAAGGACAATTGTAAGCAGGTTTGGGATTTGGATTTTTAGTTTTATTTGAGAAGTCTTCAATTTTAATTCTAAAAATACCAGAGTGTAGCCCAGGCAATGCTCTGAATTCTTGCATAATTGGTAGTGGAACTATATTGGGTGGCATATATTTCCACACTTTATCAAATATCAACCAATTAAAACAAATGTCTTTTATTACTATAGTAATAAAAAGATATTATAAATATTCAACTTCACTCAAATTGGTGATATGTTATTTAAATGATCATTTTTAATAATTTTTTTCTTAAACTTCTTTTATTGCTTTAGTTTTGTTTTCATGATTAAGAAAGGTTTTTTTACATCTGAGGTGTAGATTTTTTTATAATATTAATATGTTAATCTAAGACTACTTTCTTTGGTGTTGATATGATAAAAATATTAACTTGAACAGCAAATAATTAGAATTACAACCTCTACAGGGTATGAACTAAAATTTAAAAGCCATTATCTAGGTTTCAAGATTATGTGTAATTGTTTTATTTTAAATTGTAGTATAAAACATCGTGACATTAAACCCAGGGAACAATGTTAAAGTAATATTTGTTTAATTGTCCCCCAGAAGGCCTTAAATGGAAACACTGGTATATTGCCAAGTTTCTTCCAAATTAAGATGCTTTTCAATAGTATTTAAATTACCAAACAATGAAACACTCATCTTTAAAATTAATCATTATCATCAGTTACTGTTTTCTGGGGATCCACAGCTGGCTGGGAGAGGTTCAGAAGGCTACCTCTGCTATTCAAGAACAAAGAGATGTGATGATTTTTTTTATTTGACTTCAAAAATGAGCATATTTTATCTTGGGTGCTTCATTCTGATTTATGCTGTATACAATTTGCAAGTCCATTGAAGAGTGATTTTCTGCCTTTTACTATTGCCTCCCTCTGTGCAGCCCAATAGATTAAGTAGATGATTTGGGTGATGATTATTTGAATATGTATGTGGAATTCTGTAATAACATTGTTTTCTTAATATTCTACATTGTATTATTACATAGAATGTTTTCATCTTTAGTTTGCTTGTTTTTACCAAGTTCTTTAAAAATATTAATAGATTTTATTTTTAGAGCAGTTTCAGTTTTATATTTACAGAGGATTTGAGTGGAAAATATAGAGTTCTCATATGCCTTCTCATCACTCCCCTTCCACACATACACTGTTTCACACACATATCTTGCATTGGTGTAGTATATTTGTTACAGTGGATGTGGCAATATTGATACATTACTATAGCCCAGAGTACATTAGAGTTCTACGGGCTTGTACCGATGTATAATGACGTGCATCCATCATTGCTATATCATAGAAAATAGTTTCACTTCCATAAAAATCTGTAATCCATCTGCTGATCTAATGCTTCTTCTCCTTGAACCCCTGCTAACCAATGATCTCTTACTGTCTCCATATTTTGCCTTTTCCCAGAATGTCATAGTGTTGGACTGATGTGCTGTATGGCCTTTTCTGTTTAGCTTTGTTCACTTGGCAATATAGAGTTAAGGGTCCTCCATGTCTATTCATGGCTTGGTAGCTCAGTTTTTTTTATCACTGAGTATTCCGTTGTCCGAGTGTACCACACTTTTTTATCCATTCACCTATTGAAGGACATATCGGTTGCTTCCAAGTTTCCGCATTTATATATAAACTGCTATAAACATTCATGTGAGATTTTTATGTGGCCATGTGTTTTCAGTGCATATGGGTCAATGTCAATGAACACAATGCATGGATATTATAGTAAGAGTATGTGTAGTTTCTACAAAATTTCCGAACTGTCTGTCAAAATGGCTGTATAATTTTTTATCCCCAATAACAATGAATGAGAATCCAACTGCTTCACGTCCTGGCAGGACTTGGTGTTCTCAGTGCTTTGGGTTTTAGTCATTTTAATAGGTATATAATGGTATCTTGCTTTAATTTTCCATTCCTTAATGATATATGATGTGGAGCATCTTTTCATATGCTTATTTGCCATCTGTATATCTTCCTTGGTGAGATGTCTGTTTAGATCTCTTATCTATTTATTGATTTGTAGGTTTTTTTCTTATTATTGTGTTTTAAGAATTGTTTTATTTTCTGTTTTATCAGATATGTCTTTCAAAAATATCTTTCAGCCCTGGCCAGTGTGGCTCAGTTGGTTAGGCATCATCCCATGCATGTAAAGGTTGCAAGTTCGAGTCCTGATCAGGGCACATGCCCAGGTTTCAGGCTTGATCCCCAGTAGGGGGCATGCAGAAGGCAACTGATGAATGTTTTGTTCTCATATTGATGCTTCTCTCTTTCCCTCTCCCTTACTCTCTCTAAAAATCAATTATAGTGCAGTTTGTGACCTGTCTTCTTATTCTCTTAACAATGTCTTTCACAAAGAAGTTTTTTGTTTGTTTGTTTTTTACCTTAATGAAGTTCAGTTTATCATTATTTCTGTTATGGATCATTCTTTGGTGTTAAATCTAAAATATAAATAAATAAAAAATCACCAAACCCAAGGTCAACTATATTTTTTCTAATGTTATCTTCTACAAGTTTTATAGTTTTGCATTTTACATTTAGGTTTATGATCTATTTTGAGTGAATTTTTGTGACAGGTGTAAGGTCTGTGTCTTGATTTACTATTTTTTTTTTGGTTGTCCTATCACCATGTATTAAAAAGATTATCCTTGCCCTAACCGGTTTGGCTCAGTGGATAGAGCATCAGCCTGTGAACTCAAGGGTCCCGGGTTCGATTCCGGTCAAGGGCATGTACCTTGGTTGCCGGCACATCCCCAGTAGGAAGTGTGTAGGAGGCAGCTGATCAATGTTTCTCTCTCATTGATGTTTCTGGCTCTCTATCCCTCTCCCTTTCTCTCTGTAAAAAATCATTAAAATATATTTAAAAAAAAAGATTATTCTTTCTCCACTGCATTGCCTTGTTCCTTTGTCAAAGATCAGTTGACTCTATTTGTGTGTATTTATTTCTGAGCTGTCTTTATTGCATTGATCCCTTTACATATTCCTTGCTAATAACACACTGTCTTTAATACTAAAGATTTATTGTAAGTCCTGAAGTTGGGTAGTCCTGAATTAGTTTTGTATTGATTGACTCTTCTGGATCTTTTGTCTTTTCATATACATTTTAGAAGCAATTGGTCCATAACCACACAACCACACATTTGTTCATAATTTTCTTGTAATGTATAGATTAATTTGGGAAGAACTAACATCTTGATAATATTTAATCTTCCTATTTATTTACATGGGTTATCTCTCCATTTATTTAAATTTTCTTTGATTTTTTTCACCATAGTTTTGTACTTTTTCTTATATAGACCTTGTACATATTTTATTAGATTGACACTTAAGTATTTCACATATTTTTGGTGCTAATAATGATGTATTGTGTTTTTAATTTCAAATTCTATGTTTTCATTGTTGGTATACAAGATAACAATTGTCTTTTGTATGTTAATCTTTTATCCTATAACTTTGTTATAATTGCTTATTAGTTTCAAGAGGCTTTTTGTTGTTATTATTGTTGATTCTTTGGAATTATCTGTATAGATAACTATATCATTTGTAAATATTTCTTTCTTTTCTATCTATATACCTTTTATTTCCTATTCCTGTTTTATTGCATTATCTAGGACTTCTATTATGATCTAAAATAGGAGTGGTAAGAAGGAACATCCGTGCCTTGTTCCTGATCTTAGCAGGAAAGCATCTGGTTTCCCACCACTAAATATAATGTGAACTGTAGGGTTTTTATAGATGTTCTTTATCCATTTGAAGAAATCACCCCCTATTCCTAGTTTGCTGAGAATTTTTATCATGCATAGGTCTTAGGCTTTGTCAAATGCTTTTTTTCTCCTTATATAGATCAGATTTATTAATGTTCTTTTTAAAAATGTATTTTTATTGATTTCAGAAAGGAAGGGAGAGGGAGAGAGAGATAGAAACATCAATGATAAGAGAGAATCATTGATTGGCTGCCTTCTGAATGCCCCACACCGGGAATCGAGCCTGCAGCCCAGGCATGTGCCCTGACCGAGACTCGAATAGTAACCTCCTGGTTCATAGGTTGATGCTCAACCACTGAGCCATGCTGGATGGGCTATTAATATTCTTGATTACATTATTGATTTCTGAATGTTGAACAAGCTTTGCACACCTGAAATAAATCACCCTCGCTTGAGGTGTATTATATTTGTAATGTATTGTTGGATATTATTTGCTAATATTTTGTTGACCCTTTTTACATACATACTCATGACAGATATCAGTCTTAATTTTCCTTTCTTGTAATGGCTTTCTTCAGTATTGGTATTAGGGTAATGCTGGCCTCAGAATGAATTGGGACATATGTCCTCTGCTTTGTTTTTCCAAAATAAATTATAGAGAATTACTATATATTTTTTTTCCTTGAATGTTTGATGGAATTTGACAGTGAACCCATCTGGTCCTGGTGTTTTATGTTTTGACAGGTTATTAATTATTGATTCAATTACTTTAATAGATATAGATCTGCCAGGGCAGGTCTGTCCTGGCATGTGTGGCTAGTTATTAAGGATTGTCCCATGCATGAAAAGGTCACCTGTTCAATTCTGGTCAGAGAACATGCCTGGGTTCCTGGCTTGATCCCCAGGAGGCAGCTGATCATTATGTTTTCTGTCTCTCTAAAAACCAGTAGCATACATATTTAAAAATAGATATAGATCTATTCAGATTATAAATTTCTCCTTGTGTGAGTTTTAGCTGTGTGTGTTGTTTAAGGAATTAATTCATTCACCTAAGTTATCAAATTTGTGGT